GCTAGTCATGGCAGTCAGTGGTTGTACATCCGTTTCATTACTTCATTTATCGATTTGCCATCCAAGGATATACGATCAATGCTTTGAAGACACCTATGATAGAAAACCAGTAACCTACGAATATCTTCGACGCTAACTGGCCATGTTTTGCATTCATATAGCAGGTCAGAGCGAACTGCTGCACAGCAGACTCGTCCTTTGGTCAGTAGACGGATATGCCGTCTAGGACATAAGTAACGCAGGTTGGCAAAAGCCAGTCGAGCTTTCTGCATTCGTACTGAGATTTCATCGGTCACCAGGCCATCAGCAATGATGTTATTCCCGAGATAAGTGAGGCGGTCGACAGATTGGACTACTTCACTCCATGTTACTAGTTCAGGTGCCGATACAATCCAATCCTGAAGCAATATTATGCATTTGAAGGAGAAGAATCGTATTCCCAGCATGCTCGCATTAGTGCTTAGGGTAGTCAGGAGACTCTGCATTTTGTCGGCGTCTTCACCAAGTGGAACTATGTCATCAGATATTCTAGGTCAACAAACGAGTTTTCTGGCAAACGGTCAACTCCTGAAAAGTCACATGATGAAAGTACTCTGCTTAGAAGCACGTCAATGATGAAGTCAAACAAGAATGAAGAACGTGGCCTGCCTTGACGAACACCACTTGACGTAATCAATTCCAGTGACAGTTCTCCATAAGCCCTCACTCGACAAAAGGTGTTCCAGTAGAGAGCCTGTATATGGTTCATGTACATCTTCGGTACATATTTCAGTGATAGACATTGCCACAGAACCTCCCTATCGACAGAGTGAATGACAGAATGAAGACAACTATAGTAGGACATCGAGATGTGTGTCTGTGTCCTAGAACCTGTCGTAGTATGAATATGTGATCTATACATCCACGTCCAGGTGTGAATCCAGTCTGGTTTTCTCGATTCTGCTCTTCCACAGCCTTTTTGGATATTATTCCAAGCTGCCTCGGGATGGTAATCACTTACATGGCTGCCTAACTGTTTTTCTAATTGTTCCTGAAATATATTTCTGGCTATGGTATCATTAGGTAGAACCCTAGCAGGTTTCCCTGTGGTGTCTTTCATACGTCCAGTAAGCAGCAAGCAAATACGTGCTTGCGATAGAGCATTATCTGAATCTAAACAAGTGTTTTTGTTTGATTATAGAAAGATCATTTTAATATTTGTACATCTTAAAACTATTAAATTTTTTTATTTTGCTAATAATTTTGTAATAAATATTACTAGTGTAATTCGATACAGCAGATGTAATTTGATCATATTTCATCATAAATATTAAACTCAGTTTATTTGACTTTATCATACACAAATAATCACTTGTTATTTTTTTCAGTAGACATAGGAATATGTAAACATGAATTAACAAAGTAAAAAACTTATTCAAAGTATTATATAACAATTTATTATAAGAGACATGAGACATTTTGAAGTTATTAAAATCAAAAAAGAAATGTTTACAATTGTTCTATTTTATACATTATATTCTGTCGCAAATGGAGAGTGTAAGTTGACTACAATTAATGATATTATCGTAGTCATTGTTCTGTTATATTACACACTGCCTATTTGATAAATCTATCGAGTAAAATTAGTTTGTATTATGCATGCATAGATTAAGTGATTTTTTTTTGCATTCAGTTTTGGTCATTTTATGAAGATGTTTGTATTTCATGTACTTACATGAACCGATAGAATTAATTTTAGTAGACAAAACAGGTTAGTCAATGAGGTCTCTAGCTCGCATTTTGAAACTCTTCAAATTTCAATCAGATAAATTAGGATATTCACTGAACATATATCGAAAAATATACTTTAATCATTGTCACCCTTTCTATCTAGGGATTGAAATTAAATCTTGAATACCGGTTACTCTTTGATATGAAGCATTTATTCCCTTAATAAATGAAAAAAAGTAATTGGGAGTTCTGGATACGCAAATCTTTTTGATGATGATAACGTTGTGGATGGCGTCACACTTTAGCAAACTTTAATACCAACCAATTGATTGACAGAAAATTTAGGACGACTTAGTTTTTTATCTGATGATCACTTTGACTGAAAGCATGTGAAATATTAGCATCCTTATTCTTAATGTGGTGTTTAGAGATTATTCAGATTAAAAGAGGTGACTTACTTTAAAACATAGTTCTTTCACAACACATTTCACTGGTTTTGAATGTAGCATTACATGAAATCATTAATGTTTGCAACAAAACAACTATGCATGAATCTAATGTAATATAGTTTTTATTTTCATAAAGAAATTTGAAAAAAATATAAATTTATTATACTTTATAAGGGTTAGAGATATAAGCATTTGTTAATTATGTTGCAAAACCCTTTTAAATATTCAAGGTATCTATTTTCTCAATAACAATATAATCACATAATATTTAATTGATAACAAATGAAATTTAATGTATTTCACTAAAAGACTCTAAGTTAAATAATTAATTAAAATGGGAAATGATTATCAGTTGACCATTAATTAACATGGTAGATTGAATTTTTCAATTGTCAACGTTTTATTAGCTGCCACATTTTTAATATTAATTTTTTATAGTTTTTTAATGTTTATTATCTCTGATAGAAATTTGGACCAACTATTCATTTACAGTGTGTATTTGTATCTTTCATGCCTGTTGTACAATGTGTACCAAGATAAAAATATAATCCAGAATAGTTTACATAAAAATAATACTTTAATTATTCCTTAATTATATTTTAAGGGTCACACTTTATTTCAATAAGTAACTTGTGTATCGTTTTGACAGAAGTTAAGTTAACTTCGATAATACTTACTATCTTTTTTTTTTCGAAGTAATCGATCGTACTAATATTCAACTTTTCTGGAAAATTATTCACAAATTCATACTGAAAATGAAAGTTTCTGATAAATAACCTACTTGTAGCTTTGCTACTCTCGTAATGAAAAAACCTAAATAAAATAAATATCATTCATGATACAGTTTTGCAGAATTTACCATTTGTATATCTTAAATGAATCGCCCCTGCCCAACCCCAAAAAAAAATTGTTCACTATCAATCGACTTTCGCCATTTTATACTTTTATTAGTTCTAATTAACATTTACAAAAGTGATTTGCTTCGGCCACAATAGACTAATTCATGTTTAGTTTGACATTGATTATGAATAATGTTTTCATTTCATGCAAGTTTGAATCTTCAGATAGCATACTAATTAAATCTATGCTAAAGTAATTAACAGCTAATGAAATGGATTGAGATTAATTCATATACTGAAACTTTATCAGATATGTGTTGGTAAAGGCTCATCTCGATATGTTTCTCAAATAAACTTCCTCAGTCTAATTCTATTGAAAGGTTACTGCAATGTTTATTACTTTTGGGCTGGAACTCAGTCTAGAAAGAAAATAAAACTTATATAGGTAATACATGCCCAAAATAGGGTCGGAAAAGATTTATTACCTTATCAATTCATTTGTCATTCTTGTCTAGTACCGCAAGTCGAACTTCAGTATTAATTATTAAGTGTTTCCAATATATACACTAACAATGCATCTATGATCAAATACTAGTGATCTACAAATATCTTATATGTTTACAATTCATGTTTCATAGGTGTAGGGTAGAATAGAGCTAATTGTTGCTTAGTAAATTCACCTTTTAGGTTAACAGATAGACAACTTATCTAATAGGTATCAATAATGACATATTTATGCGAAAATTAAACAGAAAATTGAAAACTGAGAAGATATAACAAACCAAATTCTATTTAATAGGCCACGATGGCTGTCACTGAAATAATTTTGGTCCGAATTTCAGCGATAACACTGTGTCATAAAACTTGTCGGTTTACGGCATTAGATACACTCCTCCGACCAAGAGAAAAAAATTATCGTTACGTATCAAAGTGTATGCGTGTGTTTTAGAAGTTGATAATTAATAAAGACTTGCTTAATTTATCTACAACCAGATCGAAAACCAGTCTTGTTTCGTAGTATTTCATGTTCTCAAGCTATAGGTGATATTCGAGTGATTAAAACTGTCGAAGAAAATTGTTGATCAGTTTATTTTTTCAATAGCTGTCACATGAAGACTTTTGTCTTTTATTATAAATTAGGATGACAAAAAACTTCGATACTTACATTGGAATTATATCCAGCAATCAAACATTT